TGTTCACTCCTGACATCTGTAGAACAGCTGGAAGAACTTTGGCTGAAGCTGCAGCCCGAGTTGTCCCTGGGCAATAAGTCTGACTCGGCAGCACCTGCTGTCTAAGGCGGGTGGGATTCCGGCCTTACCCAGCTTCAGGTGGGGGGGGGGAAGAGTCTGGGGGAGGCCTTCTCACCCCACACCCCCCCGGGTCCGCTTCCCTCTCTGCAGATTAAGTCAGACAAGCAGCAGCCGGGGGTCGTGGTCTACAGCATTAAGGGCCCCGGGGTGGATGAAGACCCCAAGGACATCTTCTCCATCGACAACCGGAGTGGCAAGGTTTACCTCAACACCGTGCTGGATCGGGAAAAGCACGATCGCTTTCGGGTAAGGAAGGGGGGGGTTGGACTCTGATCAGTCCAGATGTTTGGGTCCTTCCTGCCCCCCCCCCCCCCCCAGTTCCATCCAAGGGGAGGAGGCAGAAAGTCCGCCGACCTCCCTCAAACCCTCCAGAAGTGCCCTTCCCGCCCCCTCAGCTGCCCCCTGGGAGTCTCCTAGGGGAGCAGAGGCTGCCTTCCCCAGCTGAGGTGGGCCTCCCCCCTTCTCCCCACCACCAGCTCAAGGCTTTTGCCCTCGATCTGGGCGGGGTGCCTCTGGAAGACCCCACCGACCTGGAGATCGTCGTCCTGGACCAGAATGACAACCGGCCCCTCTTCCAGCGGGACGTGTTCACAGGGCAGGTGGTGGAAGGGGCTGAGCCAGGTGGGACCCCCTCACCTCCCCCTCGGTCTGGCCAAACGTCTTCCAGGAGGCAGGACTGGTTCTGCAGCACCGGTTCTCCTTCGACCCGGCTGGCAGGACCTTCCGGCTGCTTCCTGGTCATGGTCACTCTTGGTGACCAGAACGAGGGCCCAGCCCTCATTCGGAAATGGGGTGCATTCAGTGTTCACAGGGCACCTCCGTCCTTGAGCAGCCCTGGATCACCGAACCCTCCATTTAATGTGCAGAAGTGCCCGGAAGCAGCTCTACCTGTGCAATTTCTGGCTGCCCCCGGAAGCACAAACAGTACAGCAACGATAAACGTGGCCATCGTGACCCCCCAGGCTCGGTTCTCCCCTGGCTGCCCCATGACCCCTGAGCAGGTGGGGGGCTGGATCACATGGCAGAGCAAACCCTGGGCTGGGTGCGCGAATATCGTGCTTCCGAAGAGGCCCTAGAAAAGTCTCCGTGGTGAGAGAAGCTGCTCCGTGCTTTCCAGGGACGTTTGTGTTGAAGGCGGAAGCCACGGACGCCGATGACCCCGAGACAGACAACGCGGCTCTGCGGTACTCCATCCTGGGCCCAGAAGGGGCGGGGCTCTTTGCCATCGATGAGCTCTCTGGGGAAATCCAAGTCGCTCGCGATGGGCTGGACCGCGAGGTATGGGCCCCTCCCTTGTGCCCGGAGGCTGCTCCTGGCCCCAAAGGACGGACGAGCAGCTGGCACAAATCGGGAAGGAAAAGGGAGGCGGGAGGGGCTAATGACAATGCCACATTTCTCTTGTACAGTATTTCAACTACGTAGAATCTTTTGGAATTATTGTTATAAAACGTTCCCCGACTATCCTACAAAATCAAATCATTCACTGAGTATTTATTATGGCTCTACTTTTAGCAACAAGGCTTGGATTTATTTTATTATTAAGGATTGCACAGAAAAGTATCTAAAACACCTAGCTGAGAAAATACGATGCCTTTGTTAGCCAACGTTTTGTTTGATTTGATTTGCAAACTCCTGGACCAGGTGATGGGCAGCTACAACTTGACACTCCAAGTGGCTGACATGGCTGGAGAAGGCTTGACCACCACAGCCACAGCGGCCATCTATGTGGAAGACGTCAACGATCACCCCCCCGAATTCATGTCGGCTGAGGTGGGGAGAGGACAGTGCAGAGGCAGGGTTACCCCCTCCCACCCCCGGCCAACCCTGCTTGGCTCCCTTCCTTGAGCATCCCCGTTCAAGCCCTGCCGGGCAAGGTCCCTGGCGCAGGAGGAGGAGGGTCAAGGGCTTGCAGGGTGAGGTTCCTGAGCGCCCCCAGCATCACGGGAGGACCTGACGTGTGAACCAAAGTCCTTCCTTGCTACGAGAGGTTGGCTGCTGCCCTGCAGTTGTCTGCAGAATTCCTGCTTGGTTGGGAGGTGGAAGGCCATCCTGCCTTCCGGCTGGCCATCAGCCACCTGGTCCCACCTGGAAGCCCTCAAGACTGGAGCGGCTGGGCGGGCGAGCTGGCTGGGGAATGACTCTCCCCGAGCAGCTGTTAGGATCTGGGGCTGATGGAGCCAAGGTACCCCCCCCCTCTGGCCCCCTTCAGCTGCCCCATGGGAGGCCACTGCTGGTGGGGCCACCCTCAGCCACCCCTCTTCTTCTCCCCTCTGCTCACACTGCCCCCCTTCTCTTGCAGTTCCACCTGGAGGCCCCTGAGAACCGGCAGGGCGTGGAGGTTGGCCGGCTGGCGGTGCAGGACGAAGACCAGCCAGGCTCCCCCAACTGGCTGGCCAAGTTCACCATCCTGGAGGGGGACCCCCGAGGAGCTTTCTCCATCCACCCTGACCCCCTGACCAATGAGGGGGTCATCTCCTTGGCCAAGGTCAGGAAGGGCCCGGCTCTGCTCGGGACTGGGGCAATGGGGGAGGGGGGGCCGGCCCAGGAGGGAGCAGCTCCTCCCCGCCGGTCGAGGGCCGGTGGCTGCCTGGAGTGTTCCGGAAGCTGAAGCACAGCAGGCTCAGCCTCCCAGGGGAAAAGGGAGCGGCCAAGCGCGGAGGCCTCTTCTGCAGCAGGACGGGAGGGCAGGCGGAGCGCAAAGGCCACGGGTGTGCCTGGGTGTGTAGCAGGAGCTGCCCAGGAGAGGAGCTGGCGCCTCCCATGCCCATCTCCCTCCCACTTGCCAGGCCCTGGACTACGAGGAGCAGAGCCGGTATGAGCTGCTGGTCTCTGTGCAGAACCAGAGCCCCCTGCACCCCTCGGCCCCCAAAGCCGCCCACGCCTTGGCCAGGGTGCAGCTCCAGGTGGCGGATGCCAACGAGCCCCCCTTCCTCCTGGACAACCCCTGCAGGGGGAGGGTGAACGAGGGAGCAGCTCCCGGCACCCAGATCAGCCTCTTCCGTGCCAGGGACCCAGACACCCAGCAAGCTCAGCAGCTCAGGTGAGGCCAAGCCAAGCTGGCCGGTGGAGGTTCTGCCCAGGCCGAATCCAGCAAACGCAACCCCCCGTTTCCTTTTTGTTGGAAGGGTGAAGTCTCTAGTCCTCATTAGCCCCATCCATCCCTAAGAGCAGACCCTGCTGGGCCATGTCTCCCTGCCCCCCACTGGGATCCCCCCGGAGGAACCTTCCGGGGGAATCTGGCAAATTGGGGAGGGGGCCTTTCTGTCCTCTGCCTTTCGAGAAGCAAGCCTTGCACATAGGGGGGAGGGTGTGCGTGCATCCCTGAAGCCCCCTCCTCTCCCCAGGTTCCTGCAGGCCTCTGAGTTGGCCAGTTGGCTGCAGGTGGACCCCGATTCTGGCCGGGTGGAAGCCCGCCAGCAAGTACCCCCGCGGTCAACCTTCCTGGATGGCTGGTACATCGCACAGATCCTGGCTGTGGATAACGGTGAGTGGGTGGGCAGGGGAGGGAGGGGAGCGGAGGGGAGGGGGGAGAGCAAGCAAGGGGCCCTGGCCTTTCAAAGGAACAGCTGAGCCGGCCTTGGACTCAGGGAGGGTCCTTAGCCAGGGCTGGGGTCTCCTTTGGCAGCCGTGGGCGAAAGAGAAGAGCCCCTCTGCGTGGACGTTGCCCCGAGGTCAGCTGGACTCACACCTCCCTCCCTCCCCCCCCCCCCCCCTCCCCCCCCCCGGGACCCCCCCCCCCCCAGCCCCTGGGACCCTCTCTGTCGAGGTGCTGGAGGTCAACGACCATGCGCCCGCCCTCCTCCCCACCATGGGGTCCCTGTGCCGGGAAGGGGGCAGCCTGGTCCTCAGCGCCACGGACCAGGACTTGGCGCCCCACGCTGGGCCCTTCCGCTTCCACTTCGCCCTCAGCAGTGGCCACAACTGGACTCTCAGCCACCCCAACGGTAGTGGGCTTTCCTGGGGGCCCACATGTGATGGGGGGCAGAGCTCGACCCAGGCCTGGGGAGGGGGGGAATGTCACGGCTACCAATCATCTGAAGCCCCCTCCCTGCTCCCCTCGCCCACTCCAGACACCCACGTGCTGCTCCGGCCTCCCATGGACGTGGCCGAGGGGCTCCACGTGCTGCCACTGCTGGTCAGAGACTCCGGGATCCCGCCTCGGGTGCGAGAGCAGCTGCTGAACGTCTCCGTCTGTGCCTGCAGCCGGTGGGGCACCTGTGGGGCACAGGCGGAGGCCACCCTGGGCGCCAGGGCAGGCCTCAGTCTGGGCGGCCTGCTGGCCATCCTCTGCAGTGCCCTCCTTCTCCTGCGTAAGTGCCTGGAGGCTGAAGCGGGACCGGAGGGGAGGAAGCGGGAGGAGCTGGGCCTCTGCCCCACGTTCAGGGGAGGGGAAAGGGGGTCAGTGCTGGGAGGTTGGTGGATCTGTAAATCCAGTGGATGCAGGTCCTATTTCTGGGCCTCGGGGGGAGGGGAGAGTGTCGGTCTCCCTGCTGCAAAGAGGAAAGACCCTGGCCCCAAGCCCCCCTCCCCATTTCTCTGCAGCTCTGTGTGTGTGTGTGTGTGTGTGTGAATGTGGGCTCATGTTATTTCCCCAGTCTGGCCTGGCATGGGCTGGGCAGGGCAGTCGAGAGAGGGAGGGTGCCCACAGGAAGAGCTGGCAGCCCAGGGGTGGGGAGGAGGCTGGCTGCCCTGGGCACTGGGAGGCCTGGGGGGGCACAGGGGCCTCTGACCCGCCTTCTCTGGGCAGTGCTGGTGCTGCTGGTGGCCGGGCTGAAGCACTCCCGCCGGCAGGCTCTGCGCAAGGGGCTGCTGGGCGCCTGGCAGGATGACCTGCGCGACAACATCGTCAACTATGACGAGCAGGGGGGCGGTGAAGAGGACCAGGTGAGACCGGCGGGGGGGGGGGCTGCATGGGGCCGGTTCCTTTCCCGCCTCTCGGCCATGGGGTCATGGAGGCCGTGCCCCGTTCTCTGCCCGCAGGAGGCCTACGATCTCTCCCAGCTGCGTGACCCTGACCTCTTCCGGCCCCCGACCCCCCGGGGGAAGCCCCTTCGTCGGAGGGAGGCCCCCCACAGCTGCGCCTTGTCCCAGCAGCACCTGCAGCGATGCCCTTCCGACATCGAGGACTTCATCAATGAGGTGAAGAGCAGCGAGGAGGCCGGCTGAGGGTGGGTGGGGTGAAGGCCGGGGGTCCCTGAATCTGCCTTGTCCCTGGAGGTTTCCAGAACTGGGCTGGGGGGCCTTCCTTTGATGGGGGTGGCCTGAGGGCCCCTGCCTTGAGCAAGGGGCTGGACTAGAAGACCTCTCGGGCCTCTCCCAGCCCTGGCCCCCCTGGAGCTGCTCCTGTCTCCTGCGTAGGGCTTGGAGGCGGCCGACAGGGACCCCAGTGTGCCCCCCTACGACACGGCTCTCATCTACGACTACGAGGGAGCCTGTTCGGCCAGCGGCTCCCTCAGCTCCATCCTGTCCAGCCTGGGAGACGAAGACCAGGACTACGACCACCTCCACGAATGGGGGCCACGGTTCCAGCTCCTGGCCGAGCTGTACGGCCAGTAGGAGCAGGAGGAGCAGCAAGGCCGGACTGGACAATGGGCCAACCTGGCTTCTCCCGGCAGCCCAGAGGCAGCCCCCCTCCAGCCGCTGCCTTGCCAACTGCGGCTCCATCGGCAGCTGGACCTACCTGTGTGCCCAGCGGGCAGAGGCCCCCAGGTGCCTTCCCTGGCTGCCGGCTGAGATTCTGCTGGCAGCTGTTGGAGGACAGTCCAGGGACCCCAGGACCACCAACCCCTTGTGCAACCCCTTGTTTCCCCCAGCCAGGACCACCCCCCGTCCCCTCCAGGGCCCCCGAGAGTTACCAGGCCTAAAGAAAGAGGGCGGCTGGGTGAGAAAACCCACCTGCCAGGGAACCGAAGAGCCAACAGGGAGAAGCAAGGACTGGCAACCTTGCAGGAAGCAAGCAGAGATGCCCCCCCTCCCAGCAACAGGCTCCCCCCCCCCCATCAGAACTGATCAGGGGCCCAGCCTGAAAAGCAGCTTCCGGTGGACTATGGGTAAACCTGGCTGTGCTCCCCTCAAGGCTGCAAAGGTGCCAAGGTGGCTGCAGCCAGAAGGGGGAGAGGCTTGGGGGTCTCGGCAGGGGAACAGGGCAGGATTTTGGGGTGGGGGGGGGCAGCGCTCGCTGTGGCTGACAATAAAACTCCACAAGAAAAGTGAACTATAAATGCAGCGTGGGGTTTATTGCGTGTCCAAGAAAAGGGGGGCCCTGGGTCAGCCTCTCCTCAAGGGGGCCAGAGGTTGCCCAGTTCCTCCTGGGGCCCCTGACAGTCCAGCCCCAGCAGCACTACTCTCCTCCGGCGCTGCCATGCTCTTAGGTCTCTGGGCCCAGTGGGCTGCCTTGCCCCCCAGCCCCAGCAGGCCTCACGCGGCTGCCCAGCATCTTCTGGGTGGCCGTGACCAGGTGGGCGTAGCTTTCAGGGTCGTAGGGGCTGGCCCCCATGTGGGTGGAGAGCAGCGGTAGCTGGTCCTGGCGGTGGCAATGGCGGCGGCGGGAGGGGTGGAAGAGCGGGGGGCGGTGCAGGCTCTCCCCCTCCCGCATGGAGTCCGGCAGGGGCCGGTGGTTGGTCTCTGGGAGGAGCATGACGCTGAGCACTGAGAGGACGGCGAAGGAGGCGAAGACCACGTGGTGCAGGAAGAAGCCCCGGCTGGGCTGGATGTCCATCAGGGGGGTGGCCACCTGGCCCAGCGTGTGCGCAGCCAGGATGAGGCCCAGCCCGGCTCCCCTGCAACGCAAAAGAGCCCCATTGGGCACCGGCAGTCGGCCCAGGGGGACTCACTGGAAGTTGAGCTCCAGGCTCCGGCCCTGCCCGCCTGCCAATGCAGGGACACCTGACGCCTCCTTACCTGACCACGGTGGGCAGCATTTCGCTGGCAAAGAAGACGCTGAGGGCAGCAACCGCTTGAGATGCCAAAATGCCCAGGATGGAGAGCGCCAAGACAAGCCAGGCCATCAGATCTAGGGGAGGGGAGGGGCCTGGTTGAGAGGCTGGCTAAGCGTCCTTCGGCTGTGCCTCCCCTCCTGCCACACAAGCAAGCCAGCCAAGTTGCATCGCTAAGACTCCATCTGGACAAGGCCAGGCCTGGGAAGGGGGAAGCCCCGCGCAAGGGCCCAGCAACGCAAGAACCAGCACCCTTCAGCAGGGTCACTTCCACTCCTGGGGCTGCTTGCCCCCAACCCCCACCCCCCGGGCAGCTGGGTCTCCTTACACTGCATCAGGGCCAGGAGGAGCAGGGAGGAGACACCAGTGAGGATGGTGCCAAAGAGGAGGACCGCCCGGCGGCCAAAGTGATCCACCGTCAGGCAGAGGAAGAGGACGGCCATCGCTTCGCTCCCCGCCAGCAGGAAGTAGGGGAAGTAAAAGCGAGGCGCGTACGGAGCCAGGTTGCGGGCGAAACAGTGGCGGATGCCGCTCCCAATGAACCTGGTGGGGAAGGAGGTTATGTACGCAGGGAGGGAGGGGGTCATGTGGGGTCCCCAGTGCAGCTCGTGAGGAGGAAGGGGAGGGGGGCCTACCCAGAGCCACCCTTGCCCCTCCCAGGAAGACTCACGCCGTGAAGCCGAGAATGAGGCTGTTCTTCCACACCACCCTCGTGCTGAAGATCCGGCAGACGCTGTGATACTCTGCTCTGGGGGCGCCTCCTGCCCGGCTGTCCATCTCTGGGCACAAAAGGAGAGCTGGAGCCCAGACCCAACTGGCTGCCCGGTCAGCTGAGGCTTCCCCGCCCTCCCCCCCTCTGATGGACTCCACTCTGGGGCTCCAGGTTGCCTCCGCTGCAGCCAGCCATATCCGGAAGGGGCCCGAGAGGACCAGTGGGAGACCCACCTGCCAAGAGGGGCTCCCCTGTTGGGGAGCCATTTTCCAGGCTGACTCCGTTGCCCCTGGCCAGGTCCAGCAGGGCCTGCTTGCCTCTCTGCAGCTGCTGCGTGGCCAAGAGCCACCGGGCTGACTCGGGGAAGAGGGAGGGAGACCTGGGGAAGGAGACACGGGCTGGGGAGGGCCGCATTTGGTGCTCTTGGCTCCGTCAGAGAAGTGAGTCCTCTGCGTGCACCCCCTAAAGGAGGCCAGGCAGCCAGGGAGGGGGGGCAGTGGGGGAGGCAGGCCCTCTCGGCATCCAGAACTAGAAGCGCACTCACCACCAGCAAGCAGCCAGCAGGGTCAGCCCCAGTGTGATGGCACCCTGGAGCAGCCGCCACTCGGCCACAGCCACCGCCAGTCCCGGCAGGAGCAGCTGCCCAGCAACCCAGAAGAAGCTGGCGCTCATTGTGACCATCAGGCGGTGGGGAGGGTCACACAACTCCAGGCCTGAGGAGGGGCAGAAGGGGAGCGGAGAAGAGGCCAGATCAGTGGGGCTCTGCTCTGGCCGACACCAAAGGCATCGAGTCTCACTGGGGCCATTGGAGCTTCCAGCTTCAGCAGCCAAAGGGGACGGAGGCCGTGAAGTAGTTCAGCAACGCCGGAGGACTACCTGCTTCCCACACTTGCCCAGGAGAAGTGGGGGCAGGGCATCCACCAACCTCCATGGGAGCCACTCAGATCACTAGGAAGCTGCACTTCAGGACAGCATCTCCTGACCAGGGAAGCCCCAAACCAGGGACCGTCCTCCTCCTTGCTCCAAGGCTGGAGATGCCATTTGGGGGCAAAGGCGCCTTCGGCCTGGGCAGACGGGCCTAAAGCTATTTTGGAAGCAAGGAGGACCTGGTGGGGTCTCTCCTGCTTCCCGCCTGTCCTGGAGGGCAGCACAGCCAGGTGGCAGGAAGCGACTCACGGGCCACGTAGAGGGAGAGGAAGGCCCCCGCCAGCATGGCCCCAAAGAGCATCCGCATCATCACCAGCATAAGGTAGTCCACTGCCAGGGCCACGCCGAAGCCCAGCGGGACGGACAGCACCAAGGAGAGGGCAAAGACGATCCGACGGCCAAACCTGGAGGAGAGAGGGAAGCAGGGAGGAAGGAAGGATGGGGAGGAAAAGGAGAGGAGTAAAGTCCACACCTGGCTGCACTGAGACAGCTCCCATCACGGGTCCTGGGGGAGCAAAAGTCAGGGCTGCAACCCATTTTGGCCTCTGTTTGAAACGGGAACACAAACCATTGCACGGTGCTTACTAAGGCCAACATGAGGGCTGCAGACTCCACTCCAGGGAGCCCGGAAAAATGCCAGGTTTCACAAAATCCGTTTTACAGCAAGTCACCCCACAGAAGGCCACCTTATCCAATGGACCGTTCTTTGTGAAAACCCCTTTTCTTGCCTCCCGGAGAGCATTCACACCACGGAAAGGGAAGCTGCTTTGTGCCTCCTGAAGGCAACTCGCTGTCTGTCTGCATTCAGGCCTGTGGGCAGCCCCTCCCCCTGACTCCCAGCGGGCACCAGAGGTCCAGGGTCACAACTACTGGCTAGAACTTCAGTATGTGAACCCACTGAGCTTCCCCCTCCGCCAAGTGTCTCTCACCTCTAGAGTGCTGGCTAAGAGCAGAAGGAAATCATTGGCTTTTAATCCAACCTGGGACGGGCGGCTTTGCTGAGCTACAGTGGCCCGTGAATCATCTTATTAAATGGGATGAAAAATCAAGTTCTTCCTGGAAAGTAGCACCTGCCCTGCAGGTGACAGCCGCCGCCTCTGCCACACGGGACACCCACAGAAGCCAAGGCCTGCACAAAAGCAGTCTTGGCTTTCTCAATAATAAGAGCAGAGGGCCAAGCCGCCAGTCCTCAGCGGGGCCCAGAGGCCCCCTGGGGAAGCAGCGCCGCGGCCTTACCTGTCGCAGGCCGCCCCGAGGGCCACGTAGCCGACCAGCCATCCCAAGAGGTGGGTGGTTTGTTCCAGCGGCACCTGCCAATGCTTGGCGCACACCAGGTCCCACTGCGGGGGAAGCGGCCGTGAGCAGAGAAGCAGCAGCCCCGCCGGGGCTCCTCCCCTCCCGCCGGCTTTCCCGGAGATCCCGGCCGGAAGCGAGCCCGCCCGGCGAAGGGAGCCGTCGGACCCACCTGCGTGACCAGCGTGGAGCGGAGCCCGGCCGCGGGCAGCGCGTACTGCCAGCCGCGGGTGCAGGGCCCGGTGCCGTTGGGCGGGTCGGGGGCGCCTCCGGGCAGCGGGTAGCGGTAGAGCAGGCAGCGGCTGCCCGGCGGCGTCGAGGCGTTGAGCAGCTCCGGGCCGGTGGCGTTGCGCAGGGCGTCGGGGAGCAACGCGGGGTCCGGGCGGCAGCGGTGCGGCGGGACGGCGGCCAGGAGCAGCCCCGCGGCCAGTCCCAGCGCCAGGGCCACGTTGGGCAGCCACGAAGCGGCGGCCAAGAAGCGCGCCCGCCGCCCGAAGCCGCCCGCCCGGCGCAGCACCTGCCCGTCGAAGTCCATGCGCTTCCCCGCGGAACCAGAGACGGGCGGACCGGAGGCGGCGGCCTTTCTCCGGCCGGGCGGGCGGGCGGGGCGGGGCGGGGCGCAGCCGGCGACAGCTGCCGCGGTGAGCGACGGGGCGCGCGGCGCTGCCTCCAGCGGGCCCGTCGAGGAAGGGGCTGTCCGACCTCTCCCTCCCCCCGGAGCCAAGCGAGCCAAGGGCCAAGGGGGCCCCGCGAACCCAGCGGTGCTGCGAGGGCGCTCTGCAGTTGCTCAGAGGCAATCTCCGCACCCCACCCCCCGTCCCAGGCTTGAGCCCCGAGGTGCGGGAGGCGGGGTCGACCGCCTCTCTGGGGCAGCCACCAACCGGCCCGCCTGCTCCCCTCCGCTGTGGCTCGGAGCGGAGCTGCCGCTTTCTGGGGGGTCTTTCAAAACAGGCCAACAGGTGACCTTCTGCCTGGCTGCTCCTCGCAAGGAAGCAGCACCTGGAGAGCTGAGAACCCCCCCCCCTTTCTCTCTTTCCGGTAGCCCAGAATCCCCCGGGCGCCCTTCGCTGGCTCTCCCGCTGCTGCCAGCCTTCCCTGCTTGCTAGAGGGGGGGGGGGGGGTTTCCAGACTGGCCCAGAGCAGAAGGGAGCGAGGAAGAGGCGGCCGGTCCAGCTGGTATTGGGCAACATTGCCCAGAGCTGGGAATGGATCAGCTGCAGCCCCGCCCCCCGGGGGGAGTTGCCTGCTCCACAGGGGCAGTTTTTTCCTCGGGCTTCTTCCCTTCCGGGACCGGGGTGGGGGCAGGGCTGCATGTCCCAAGAGAGGAGC